TCTTAGCCTCTCTGATCCCGGCGTCTCTGGGCATTGGACAAAGGGTGGCCTTGTTTATTCCCCCATCTGGTCTTACTATGCTGCATTGGGGCTGGAGAAGCAGTAAGTGCATCCTGGCAAGTATGGCAGGCTCTTGGCAATCAGCTCCTGGAGGCTAGGGCAGTTTCTGCCCCAGTGCTGTCCAGGTACAGCATGCTGCCCTGAGGGTATTTATCTATGCCAAGCAAGGACATTATAGTCAACCTTTGAATGATGGGTTTGGATTGTGCAGGTCCACTGACACGCAGATTTCCGTTCACCTCTGCCACCCCAAGCAACAAGACCAACCCCTACTCTTTCTCCTCCTCCTCAGCCTACTCAGGATGAAGACTATGCTAAGCATAAAAACCTTTATGATCCTCCACTTCCACTTAATGAATAATAAATGTATTTTCTCTTCCTTATAATTGTCTTTTCTCTAGCTTTATTGTAAAGATACAGTATATAATACATATGCAAAATACTTGTTAATTGACTATTTATATTATCAGTATGATATATAGATTTTCGACTCCGTGTGGGGCATGGGGGTCGGGATCCCTAACCACCCCCAACATCCTTAAAGGGTCAACTCTAATTAAAGATCTTCTCTTCCTTTCCCCATCTGTACTCACTGAGCTGGCATGAGGGGTAGAGTAGGTCATGTAAAGATCCTAATGGTCCCAGTGTTTCAGCGCCTGAGGACTTTCCTTTTAGGAGTGGTGTGCAAGGTGCTGCTGGGATCTAACCTCTGAGGCAGAGGCCAAGTTGCTGTTTGCTAAGTACAGGCAATTGCATGCCTTTCTGAAGCTCCCCAGGCCGTGGTGGCAGTCCAGTGTAGAGGAGGATTGGGAGAGGTATGGCCAACCCCAGGTCCTGGGAGCCTGGAACAGCTATTTGTCCACTTGCTAAGGCTTGTGACAGAGCAGCTTCTTATTGCACGATGGCTTAGGCCCCCTCCATTCCTCCCATCCACCATCCCTTTACCTATACTTCCTTCTTAGCCTAATTTTGCCTCTCTCTGAATGAAGATAGGTGATGATTAGCTGCCATTTTTTTTTTTCAGCTGACACATTTGGCATTGTAGAGGAACATGGTACAAAACAACTGTTCATTCAGGATTTCTGTATCTGTCACAAATGGCTTTTCAAGTTTCACATGTCAAAACTGATAGGTTATCAAGGAAAAGTAAAAAAAAAAAAGAGACATTGACTTTTTACAGTATACACAATTTTAATAACAAAACTTTCCTGTACACTGCACTTTATGTTACCCTCCCCACAAGACCTCCTGCATAATAGTGTTTTCTTCCCACCCCAACCCATCTGCCCACCTCCCACCCCTCAAAAAATGGCTCTTGAAGGTGAATGAACACAATGTGTTTGGACTGTACTTTTAGTTTCCAGTCTCAGTGTTGATAGGAAGGTTCACTAAATATTCCATATATCATATTTTTTTTAATCAAGGAAGAAAAGGTTAGTTGGAGGAGTTGCAGAAGTTTCCAAATGTTCGCAATAGCAGAATGAAAGCTTAAACAGTCATTTTCTATGTTTTTGGCCTTATTCAAGTACTCTTGAGTTTGCCCCAGGTTAGATAGAGAAATATTTAATTATGTATGGATGGTCTTATTGTCTTTGCCTTTTTCTGGCTCAAGGGCTTTAACTAATAAGATACGAAAAGTGTGTCCCAAAACAGACTTTTGAGATAGGTCTGTTACCATATTGCTGTGTTAGAAAAATGATCATGTAAGTCAGCTGTTAAAAATACTCTTAAAAATTTTATATTGATATCCACACTTCAGAAAGAACAGGGCATTTATAGCTTTTTCCCCAGATAGCTACGTATATAGGAAATATGCCTGAAGAAAATGATATGCCTGTTTAGAATTTTAGGATTCAGACCTGGTGCTATACAGGGCTCATTTTTTATTGGAAAGATGGAGTCTAGTTCTTGGTGACTAGCATTAGAATAAGCAGATGGATTTTAATAATTAGTGGAGTTGGGAAGTTCAATCAATTCATTCACTGAATTGGTATAGAAATTAACTTAGGCACATTAAGAAATTACATGTGTTAGTACAGATTTTTGGCTTAAAAAATTAGTATCTTTGCTTTTTGATGTTGGCAGTGGGTATTCACAGAGTTGTGTGTGGATTCACAAATTTACCAGCCCATTCTCTTTTCAGAAAGGTGATTGAAATCCCTGGCAAGCTACAGAAATGAATATAAATCATTCCAAAGTAGTTCTTGGTTTCTAGGTGGTGGGTATGGTATGGTCTTCTTTAGCTTTCCTTTTTCCAGAGAGAGAATTATTTTTCCGGTTTTTGATGGTTATTTTCCTCTAACCTTGAAAATGGGGGGGAAAAAGGAGGGGTGAGTGGTGGTGGTGGTGAAGAGAATAAAACCCTACCAAAAAAACAAAAGCCTTAACATTGTGTTACTAGGATCTGCAGTGTTGCTGTTCCACCCTAGTCAGTTGGTAAAGAAAGCACAGATGACTAACAGTCTTATCTTCAAACCTTTCTGATTCCGAAACAAAAATAGACAAAAATTAAATGGAATCCTGCTTTCTGTAAGCAATTAAAAGAGTTTTTGTTTTAAATGAGAAAGGAGAATACTTGTTTGGCACTGTCATTCACTTTTCTCAGAGGGCATTACCAAAAAAATGTAGGGCAAAAAAAAAAAAATCAATTATTTTTCAAACTGGAAATATGCCTCGGTGGCCTCGGCTATGCTTTTCCCCTGAATTACTAAATGGCTGGCTTTTCCACATACGGGAAGGATTTTGTCAACTGATAGTCCTTTAGGATCAATGTAGGGATTCCCAGCCAAAGAAGGGGATTTCTTAACCTTCTTTGCAGTTTGAATTAATTTTAGTTGTGGTTTAAAATGATGGAAAATACTCTTCTGCTATCCTTCAGGGCTGATGGAATCGCGTGTGCTCAGGACACAGTTGTGTTGTGACCAAGCTGTCCGTCACTAGACAAATGGCTTTGGTCATCCTCATAAGTGGGTTGATAAATTTTAGCTCATGGAGCTCTCATTTGTCATAGGGGCTTCTGGTCCATCCCCTCTGTGGGGAAGTAGTGCCCTGCTCTCTGTGCTATAAAATCAGCTTCTGTCTCTGCCCATACAAGCCAAGGGTCTGGTTTAACAGGAGGGGAAATGCTCACCACTCAAGATTAACTGAATTGAACTGGGTTGAGAGTTTGACAGACTAATCTTACCCACCTTTAAAAATGCAGAGAGCACATTTTTTACTGTAATTTGTGATCTCGTCTGCTTTTCACTGAGACATGTTAGGTGAACGGTACTGAGGTACCCTTCTCTTCATATTAAGAAAGAAAAATTACAATTAAATCTTACATATTAAATTACGTCTTAACATGTTAAGACTATGTTTTTGATTCAATCCTGGGAAGAAAATATGCCCTGAATGAAGGATATCATGTTAATGGTCATGATAAGGAAAAGATAACTTTTTTTTTTCATGGTAATGGTTTCTTCTAAGGAGTTAATGCCTTTTTTCTACATATAATAAATGGCAGTTATAAAAATGCTCATTTAAAAAAAATCAAGTTAGGACTCTGATTTCACAGTTTTGTGCATATATGGAACCTTATTTATGGAAAAATTTTGTGCAAATGGGTAACTTGCATCTAAATCCCAAATATGTCATAGTTTTTCTTTAAAAATCATAATGGAAGAAACTGAATACTTGTGGTTCTTTTCTGCATGAAAAATGTGGCATCCTTATAACTTGTTAATTATGGAATGTTTATATTTGCAGTGGAGAACCTCCCCTCTTTCCCTTTTCAGCAGCAGGTCCTGGGGCCTTGCCCTGTTTGGTGCAGATTGTGTATAATCATTCTTGGCTGCCTTGTAACTTCAGCTAACCCGAGAGTCAGATCTCAAAATCTGCCTTTCTTTTTCATCCCCTCGTCTCCGTGCTGCCTTTGAGTTACCACTGTGTGGCTGCATAGGCATGTCGAGTTTTTCCACCATTTGATTAACCTCAGCAAAATATTCCCTTCACTTAGAAGGAACTACGTTTATAATATGAATATGTATCTTTATTAAAAGGTCAAAATCTAGCATATAATATTTAGAAAGTGATTTTTTTCATGGTTCCTTTATACTGTATTATAAGAAAATTTGTGTTATGCCTGTTGCTAGCCAATTATTTTTAATTTGGCTCTTTGAGGTTTGAAAAATCAGGAAAAGGCAGAAGAAAGAGGTTTAAACCCCTTTGCCAAGGCATCTTTGATCGTGACAGTTGAGAGAAAAAGTGTATGTGTTTGTGTGTGTGCTTTCAAATTGGAGGGAGCATGTCAGGATTGTTAACTCTGTTTATCTCTTTTCTCTCCAAAATAATTTTTAAATCTTTTTTTCACATTATAAATGTAAATATAGGATTTAGTAAATTAATTAGTAAAATGGTACTTTAATACTAGTTTAAAACAGTTGCCTAAATGCCACAAAAATCAACTTCCATTATAATATAATATAATCAATGTCCATTATAAGTCAAACTAGAAATGTATGAAAAGAAATCAGTGTAATTATTTAGTGTTGATTTCATTGTAATGAGACCTTTTCACAATCACTTAGATTCATTGCTTAAATATATTAAAGAGTCACTCAGCTTATGAGAATTACATAAGGAGCTCTGATTTCATGATGTGGTATTTGATAATATCTACTAACCCAGGCAAAAACTCTGGAAGGGAGAGTGTTTAATATTTACCAGTCTTCAGCATACATGAAATTCTACTTCCCACACTGGTGGTAGATTGAAGATTTGAGTAAATACCAAATTATCATACAAGAAAACTTTGCTAAGTCTCCTTTTAAACAGCTAGCTAGTTGTGGTACATGGGATGGAGAGCAGTGATCAAACAGGTATTGATCCATATCTGTTTCTGCTCCATAGCTTCTTTCCAAACTGTTTTCGGTAGAAAAAAAAAATAGCATATGGAGACCTTAGTGTAAATGTTTACACATAATATTATATAATTACATACATGAAACGTCTTATTTTGAAGTAAGCATTTTAAAGACTTTACAACAGAAGTGCAAATTAATGTGAGCATTGCTTCATTTAACACTTAAAATATGGTTTCATTTAAAAAATTAAAAATACTTTAACACTTCAAAAACTAAGTCTCCACTTAGTTTGGAAAATTAGGCTTAATGTCACCATTGGTAAAAATTAGATATGTATTTAGCCTCTACTATGTAAAATAGGTTACTTATCTGATGTGATTTTTTGATGACGGGTAGGTATTATACTTCACATTCTTTGTATGGCAGCTGCTGACACTTGCACTGTCCATAACCATTGATGATGATGAAGGGTCCTTCGTGGGTGGGTTCATATTCATTATATGGTCCTTGATCTGACATGTTTGACATATGGAGTCGTGTTTGGGATCGGAGCTGCCTGTGGTTCTGAATCATTGAGCACTGCCTAATTCTTCTTAAAGTGGGAGGGCAGCACTTCCTGGAGATGAACACTATAAAAATAATAAAAAAGAAAGAAAACAATAAAGCCATTGTTCCTGTAATTACCCTCTGAGTGAAGATGGCATTGTCTGGTTCAGGAAAGTGTTCCTCGGTAGTAACTGCTATGCCTGCAGTAGTTGGGATTTCTTTGTCTCCCACATGGTAACTTGATGAGCTTATTCTTTTTGTATATTCAGTGGTTGGATCTCTATAAGTTGTAGCCATGGCAGTGACAGTGGTTGATAAATTCCAGCAGAGCTGAAATCCATGGACTGCATCGAGAATATCCTCTCCTTGGGTGTGGTCAGGACTGTGGCACAGGATGGAATGCTCCCACCGACCTTGGAAACTGCCCAGCCAGGAGGCCAGAGCACATATTCGGGCGCTGCATTCCCACAGATTGCCAGAGAGGCCAACGGTTGTGAGGGATCTCAGGGAGCTTAAGATCTTGGAATCAAGGCTGTTTAACTTGTTGTTATCCATGAGGAGTATTTTAAGATTCGGCATCGTTTCAAACACAGTCAAGTCGATGGCTTTGATTTCATTTCCAGTCAGGTCTAGCTTTTCTAAAGTGCCCCAGGTCCACTCCATCCCACACGTCAAGTTGCTAATTTTGTTCCATTGTAGGAAGAGTGTGTGCAGACTGCTTAGCCGTAGGAAATGAGCAAAATTAATCTTCGTCAGCTGGTTGTGCTCTAGGTGAAGCTCTCTCAGTTTGATTAATCCTGCAAATCCATTGCGAGCCAAACTTCGCAAACGGTTTGTGCTCAAATCCAGAAACTCCAGACTACGACAGTCCCAGAACAGGCGTACTGGGATAGTCCGCAGGGAGTTGGAACGTAAATGCAAGGTCTGCAGCTTCCGAAGGCCATAGAAGAGCTCTGGGTGCAGAGATGACAGCTGATTAAAAGACAGGTCCAAATTTTGCAGGTTAATCAGTTGGGTAAAAGTTGTGTTTGGCAAGTAAAATATTTTGTTGGAACTTAAGATTAATTCCTTAAGTTTATATAGTCCTTGAAAAGCATCTTCTTTTACTGTTGAGATTTGATTGTGATCTAAGTGGAGCCAGGTAAGTTGACTGAAGCTGGCAAATTGATCTCTTTCAAGCTCTGTGATATGATTGTGCCTCAGGGACAGGCCCAGAGAGCCCTTGTCTGTGGCGTTTGGCACTGAGTGGAAGCCCTGAGAGTCGCAGTAGAAGAGCAGCTTCTCGCAGCGGCATTTGGGTGGACACGCCATACCCAGGGCAGGCAGCATTTTTAAAACCATGCTCATTGCATATATTGCTGCCAGCATAGGGGCCCCTAATGGCCACTTGAAATGTAAGCCTGCAGAATATAATTTAGGGAAAACAAGAAGATAGGATATTTTTCAGCAGAACATATGAGCTATTGAAGAAAACAACATTATGGCGAAAGATTTTACTGCATATAACTTATTTTTCATTTACTGCAGAAAAATTAACCTTGTTCGTGTGACTAGAACAAAACTTAAACGATTTAAAAAGAAGATAAAACATGTCCTTACCATCAACAATATATGCTCAAACCTCAAAATCCAAAAATGTGACAATGATTTCCCTCATAAGATGTGAATTCAGCAGCTTATTTTAAAAGCACGATTCCTTGTTGACTGTAAAAGGCATATAAATAAATACACAGACTTACCCATTCTTCTGAGCACATTGGAGGCTGCATTCAGTCGCGGTTATTAGACTCAACGCAGTGAGTCTGTAAAAGGCTCTAACATGTAGGAGCCTTTGACCAGTTTCCTGTTTTCTGTGTCTCAGGCTTTCCGAGTAAAATTGAATCCACCAGGGTGAGTTGTTTTTTCCTTAGGATATTCCTCTGGAAAGCATTGACTTCATTTTCTGTGACCGCTCTGATCCCCTAAATCAGCTTTGAATGTAAGTTATTTATTTTCTCCTCCTCTAACTGCTCAGCTGGTTAATCAAAGCGTCAGTCTCCCCTTTCCGCAGCCGTTAGTTCTCTCAGTCTTAACTTGTTGATGGCAGATGGGTGGCTTGTTGCAGAGAAGAGCTCCTGGAGCAGCATGAGTGCATTTACTGAAAAGCTTTTCTGAGAAACGGCACAAGAATGGATTTGCTTATGTGCTGCGACCACACAGAACTGTATATAGGCTGACGTCACCGGATGACGTGTCTTTTGTTTGGGTTTTCCAGAAGCTTTACTGTTATAAAGCACCGTGCTTTTTGTAACAGCATTGGGGTCGTTGCAAGACCCCCTGATTACAATAAAGCAAGAAAGAAGAACTCCTGGCTTAAAAACATGGTTTTCCTTCAGTGTAGGAAGCAGCAGTGAGGTTGTAATAAAGGCTGCATTCAAGAAGACCCGTCTGAACAGTGAGTTGGGTTAGCAGAGTGATGATTTTTAATGCTTGTGAGCGCCAATGTTAGACTGCCGATTCTGCATAGAGGGATCATCTAAATGGGCAGAAGCCTGCACAATTTCTGAAGTGCTGATTTAACACCAGCCTATGCAAGGTAGTGCTGCTGCTCTGGTAGTTTGGAAAGCTACTCAATTGCCTTGTTGTCATGCTTGGTTAAAATCAAAGTATGACTATGATTTGCTTCAGATGTGGTGATATACTAGCTAAAGGGGCTTGGCTTCTTTGTCATTGAGAGCTTAACATCCTAAACCAAGAATAAAGTGGGTCGGGGGGAGACTTGCAAAACAAAGCATATGGGTATTTTTTTTTCTTTGAAAATTTCAGGGAACTCTAAAAGATTTCTCCCTCTCTTTCCTATTTTATAACAATGTTTTATCACCATGCTGACTGAAAAATAATGCTGAGTTGATGTTTGGATGTCCTACTGGCAGGAAAGGGCAGGTTGATACAGTCATTTTAATACATATACCCTAAGTGTTAACAGTGGAGCAGAGATGATTTAGGACAAATGATATAGTGCAGTTTTCAGACTGATTCTGAAAATAGTCCCTTGTATTTACCTCAGAATCTCAACCTACACCTTAACTGAAAGCCTCAGCTGGTACTGGGATTGGGGTTGTGGCACCGAAATAATAGAGCCTTTCCACACTAGTTCTACTGGCACATTTAGGAACTGACTTGAGTCTCATAATAACTGTTGTCGGAATCTGTCTTCTGAATACAAAAGGTCACTCATACTTTGGAATAGGACTTTTGCTTTGGCTTGTTTTTGCTTGACCTGACACTAGTTTCTCTCTGTCAAATAATGTTATCATTTTTTAGACCTTGGTTATCAATGTACAGCTCCATGTTTAGTGGTGTATAAATGCAAAAGATGTTTCTAGCATGAGTCAGTGTTTATATTTTCAGGCATGACAAAGGGAAGGCCTTTTACACACCTTGCCGTATTGATTGGACACAACATACCTATTTCTCCCATATTATTGGCACTTACCTTTAGTGGGAACTTGTCTCAGACCTGAGGACAGAAATCTCAAAACTACTGATGATGTCTGTTAAACAAGAATATCAAAGCCTGTTGGCTTACAAGGGCTGAATTCCCCTGGGCCAGTCTAAGAAGTAATTGTCTTGGGTAAAGTTTTTCCGTTGTGTGGTACTGAAGTGAGAACTGTAAGACTCCAAGGTCCCTTCCTTAGTGCCCTGTGTAAAGGTGTGGAAATGGCAGCAATGCAGGTGTGTAGTTTGACTCCTCCTAGAAGTGACCCTAAGATAGAATTAGAAGTACAAGAGTTTTATTGGGGGAAATGCTTGGGAAATACAAAGGGAGAGAAAAGGCAGCAGGAATACCCTGAGGGCCAGTAGAGTCTTCAGACCATAGGGCAGGTCTGATACCTGTGAAGAGAGAGGGAAAGGAAAGAAGACTAGACAAGAAGAGTTTCAGAGTGAAGCATGGTTCTCAGACAGTTTTGCAGGCCAAACAGAAATCCCCAAGCCAAAGTTGCCGGTGAGCCTGCACTAGCATTCACACTGCATTCCTCCTCGTTGGTTAAGGAAAGGAGGGGGACATGTCCTGTTTTAGACCCCAAGGATACCACTTGTTCTCTGACCTTGATCCTTTCTATTTCTATAGTCTCTCTATAGGCTAGAAGTTCCCCTAACCCGGGTCCATAAACTGGCTTGTGAAATTTTGTTGCTTGTTCATTTTTCTGTGAATGAGGTTTAATCAGATTCCTATAGAGTCTTTTCAGAGACACTATTCTACACAAATTGCAACCAAAAGTTTTAAGGAGAAGAGTCTCATAGGGGTGATGTCTTTTAATTTTTTTTTAAATGAAAAGAAGCCCTTAGGATGTTTTAAATGCCCTTTTTGGGGGGAGGGACCTTTGCTATGCAGAAAAAGCTGGATTAAATTCTTCCCTCAAGTAACCCCTTTAGTTCCCTGGGGAGAAAAGCATTTGTGTCAATTGGATTGTGGAATGAGTCGTATTTGAAAATTTGGAAGGAAAGGCATCTCCTTTCCCTTAAACTCTTGGTTCCTTTTTAGTCTGCGTGGCCTACCTCTTATAAACTAAGAAACTACTTAGATTATATTATCTCAGTACTTCTGTAACAGTTTTGTGGGCAAGGAAAATTGTCCAGAGAAGCACCAGTGCAATTGACAGTAATTATTTCTTGGTTGCCCCTGAAGAAGTAGACAGTCATGCTTGCTGTATCACAGCGCCCAGAGACCACAGTCCTTCCAGGTCACCAGGCACCTATCTCACCTGCCCACTCTTTGGGTTCAAAAGATTCAAGCCGTGGAACCGAGGAAGACATGATTTTTGCATTGAAGTTGATGGAGTACAAAGTTCCTGTTGATGGAATTTTGTATCATGTTTTTGATCTTTTATCTTTCTTTATCTAAAAGGGCTAAACAGATGCCCCTGTTCTTTCTGAACTACTTTTTCTTGGTTTCTCTTTAGGGCAGCTTTCTTTTGCATACATATGTCTTTGACTTAATTAATGTCACAGTACTACTTCTGGAAGGTAGTGTCTGTATGATTTGTTTCAATTTCCACTGCTTCAGATGTTTGTGGTAAGGCAAAGGAAAAGTAAAATCTAACCTGTCTCTCCTCTCTGTAAATGATTTTAAGCAAATTGAGTCAAGCAGCAGGGCTTAGATGGCTGTAGTTGTTGGCATTCTTCCATGTAAGAGTTTGCTCCTTTTTTTTTTTTTTTTTTTTTTTTAAAGAGCAGGGTCTAGCTATGTTGCCCAAGCTGGACTCAAACTCCTGGGCTCAAGGGAGCCTCCCGCCTCAGTCTCCCGAGTAGCTGGGACTACAGGTGCATGCCATCAGCCCAGTTAGAGTTTGCTTTTGATATAGATTGACAATTGGGGAGAGTTATTCCCCTACTTGGAGAAGCAAATGCGCAGATATATTCATGAAATTTTCTATTCTTTTGCGGTAGAGAGGGAGCTTTATATTTGCTTTATGCTAAAAAGTCAAAAGTTTCTTTAATCATGCCCAACTCTACAAATTGTGTATACTCCAGCACCAGAGTATCGCACAGAGGTGTTCTGGAGAAGCATGTTAAAGTTGTTTAACCTTGTTTTTAGGGTGGTGGTTTTAGGGTGGTTTTTAGCCAAGTTTAATTTTGTGGGTCTGAGTATGTTCCCTTCTAAGACCCTTTTAAGGTCTTAGTTGGCAACCACATATTTAGGCCTATGTTGTATCCAGACTTGTATTTTACTAGCTTTTTATTTTTTAAGGAGGAGGGAATCTTTCCTTTCAAAAGTAGACTGTCCACATTAGGCCTCCAGAATTCCCATTTTTGCCAGGCTCCTTGTCCCCATCCCTGTTCTCTGTTGATTTTGATTGTTAAAAGTCCTGTGGTTCTTTTGTTAATAAACAACCGAGAAAGCAGTAGAAAGGGATTCTGGTTACACCAGTGATTGTGAGCAGTGTTTCTTTTGATACTGCAACTTACACAGTTTGGGACATAACCTTCCAGTTTTGGAGGCATGTGCACTTTGGCAATTGTTGCTGTTGAGGGGGGTGTCAGGGCCAGAATCATGTGACAGCCTACTTCCCTTGTGTTAGAGTTGTATTCTGTGCCCAGGATTAGGTAATTCAGTAATAAATCTTGGGGCAATATACCTGAGTTTGTGAGGTGAGGGAAAATTTTCCATAGGAGAAGTTTGGTCAGATGGGCATTTATACCATGATGATCTTTTATTTCTCCTATCATAGATAAAACAAAAATAACAGAAACTACCTTAAGTCTTGATTAATGCACAGACTAGAACTTATGTGGCTAACTCCTTTTATTAATTAATGAATTAATTTTTGCTCCTCTTCTGCTAGTGTCTTCATCGTGTTTGTGTTTCCTCTTTCCTCTGTATATAGCAAGCATTGCTTTTTATTCTGAAATATATAGCCAAGTTTGGGGTTGTTCTTCTGGGCTTCTCCCTCTCTATATTTCTGAGTAGCTTTTGATTTAGATGTGTTTCCTCCTGCCTACATAGATGGCCAGGGCTATATAAAGCCCTTTGCAAAGGATAGAATTAAGAGGTAAGATACCCATTCATACTTACTTGAAGAATCTCTTTCAGTTTTAGTGAGCTCTCTGACCCAATTGTCTAAATTTAAAGGATTGATATTCATGTATATTAGATAGGTGCTAGCATTCTTGGTTGCTGAAGCTTGGAATCCTCATTTTCTGAGAACCCTCTTAATAGGTTTTGGGATGGAGGGACAGTGACGTGTGCTAAGGCAAGAAAAGAAATTGAATACGTGATGTTGTCAACGTAAAGAAAATTGATAACAAAAATTTGGCCCAAAGAGAGCAAGATCATTTATTATTATGAAAGTTTATAGCAGCATGTCAGCATTCTGTCTGCTGTTGAGATGTTGATCCCTGTATTGCACATTGCTGAAAGAGGCTTGCTAAGGCCTAAGGCTTGAGGGAGCAGTGATATAAGGCTGTACTCCCATGAGAGCTGGTTCTGTCTTACTACTTGTTCTGTGTGTTCCCTGCAAGTGTGTGTGTATGTGTGTCCTGCCCTTTGTAATTTAAGGATAGGGTACTTTTTGAAAGGAATTGGGAACACAGGACTATATAACTACTGTGTTCTAAGACACTGAGCCTAGTTTTAAGCTTTGCATAAGGTTCCCTGCAACTCTTGTCATATATTCAGTTTATAGAGAGCCCA